TCAAGAAATATTAATATAGGTTTAAAAGTACAAGCTTTTAAATCACTTGGTGCACCTCTTTTAAAGACCTGTAATTGTTCTGAAAATGAAATATGAGCTTCTTATGAGATAGGTGGTTATATAAATGACATAAATAAGCAAAATCATCTTTTTACGTTTTTTGTGGCCCCCAAAGAAAAATGATTCTTGATTTTTTTTTAAAAAAAATGTGATTTGGACATTTAATGCATGTCAGTGTGCATTCTATAAGTAAGTTTGAAAACTACCCGCACATTTCAAATATTATATGATGTAAATCAACCATTAGTATTTGGAAGTTGTATGTAACATTTATGAAGAGGAAAAATGTCACACACTATTATGTTGCAGACAAAATAACGAAGTCATAATTTCTTTCCATAAGCATAGTTAAACACCTAAATCCATAACTAAGCCTCATCTTCTACATAAAGCTATTGTATAGTGAAGATCATGGTTTGAATTAAGCATAGTTGAATACAACATTATGTTACTCTGAAGCCAGCTTGGCCAATGCATTGAACCTCATCAGTCCAGCTATCTGTAGAAGGAGCTGCTGAAACACTTATTATTTAGGATAGAATAACAGAATAATAATAGAGTTGGAAGGGACCTTGGAGGCCTTCTAGTCCAACCCCCTGCTCAGGTATGAAATTGTATGCCATTTCATATGAATGGTTGTCCTATCTCTTCTTTAAAAAACACCAACACAGGTATTCATATTATGATAGCTGGCCAGTTTGGGTTGAAAATATATAACTGAATGCATGTGCTATTTAACAAGTGCCAGATAAAATATCTAGAAACCATTTTTTCCTCCCACATTGACAACTACTGCCTTCTTCCCTTGTCAATGATCTTAGTCTTCATGCCTGTAAATTATGTGCTAGAGAATACCTTGGAGTGCTTTAAGGTCAGACTGTAAATCTCAGCCCCTTTTCTTACAGATATTCAGATTTTTCATTCTCTCCCAACCCCATCATTTTTCCTCTCCCTTTCTTCTCAAATCCCTGGAGATTGTCCCCCCGCTCCCCAAATTCTGAAGATTCTCCCTTCATCTGAAGGGATGGTGCTTATTTTGTTAACCTTATGCCATACTATCTGATAATCTGGATTGCATAGGTATTTATTTATAGGCGGAAAATGTCAGGACCAAACATAATTTCTAACGTTGGATTTCCCCTTTACCAGAGGGAGCCCCCTTGTGGAGTACTGTGAAGCCGTTACCATGGCAACTCCGCTGCGCTGTACAGTAGAAATCATTTTACGGCAGTACAGTAGAAGCAATTTTAAAGCACAACAGGCTGTATCTTAACGGAACACACACCCCAGTACAGTACAGTACCTGTGCACCAAGTTTGGTTGAAATTGCTCAAGGCATTCCAGAGTTATGCTGGAACATACACACACAGCCATTTTTATATTTCATAACTTCAAATCTGCTTATTGTCAGCGTTAGTTGCTGCCAATGATTACATTATCAAAAATGCTTCTAGATATACGTCATATTA